TACTCTGATTTAGCTTACAAAGGAAATGAAAAGTGGGAACTTTGATTCGGCTTTAGCGCAAAGCCGCTTTTGAAACATGATTACTACTGAATTAGAAAAGTTTATTACTTCCAATTAGAAAATTCGTATATGGAACAAGTTGTGTAAATATTTTGCTATCTTAGTTTATCTCCTTAGATTTTATGTGACGCAAAAGAGCAAACTGAGTCTGCCATTTATTCAGTGACAACTATTTCAATGGCTGAATTCTGAAAGGTGATTTCAAGCTCACATTTCAAAAGACCTGTGCGGAAAGAATTACTTCAGCTCTAAACGAGCTCGTCAAAACAAGCAGTTTACAGTGCTGGTCATAATTACTAGAATTACACTGCTACGTCTCCCACAACTATGTTTGTTTGCAACGTCTCCCATGTTTGTAAGCTTTCGTCCATGCTACTTGCGGATTGTAATTTTACAATTCCTGTCCACAGCACTATTATCTGCTGGACACTTTGCCGCGGTGGCGTCTTAGGGTGACCGTAGAAAACAATGGTTCTCGTTCTGTCTTTGACAATATACCTAATAACCGAAAACTGTTAATGAGAGAAAAAGAAATATATCTTATCCGTGATTTATGATTAATAAATAGTTTCAAAAATTTCTAATTCCCAGAACAAAGTAGACGTGTATCGAGAGTTCTCGCGACCATTAAAGGACTGTGAGAAATTCTAGCAAAGATTTGAACCAAGAAAACAAGAATTTGATATTCTTACAGACTTTGAATCGGGAATGCGCTGTGCTACCGATGATCGTAGTCGACCATGGTCTAAATTGTGTATTTTTTTGGCGGGCTGCAGGATATGCAGATAACCCTCTTGGTTAAAGCAATAATGATCGAAAGTTTTCCATGTTGTGAACATGCGATAATTCAGCGAGTCGTCGTTCGAAAATACCGCATGAGTAAAGGCATAAGTTGAGGCTAGAACAAAAAGCTGTTTAAGTCTACGTCGTGTGACTTCTGCAAAAATCAGTTTACCTGGCAGCAACACAACAAGTAACATCTTCATAGCGCGTTGGGGGAAACCGTTCTACTTGATTAAAAGAAATAACGAACTCTCTAGCGAGTGTGCGCAGCAAACATTCCATTTGCATATTTAATTTGTCGAATTTCGTATCGGCTTCTTTTACATGATGTCACTGACTGAACAAGATTCCTACAAGATATGAATATTTGAGACTGTGTGCGTAACAGCCTGGACAAAAAAGACACTCCACAACGAATATTATTGTTTCTAATCCGATGTTCAACTTTCACGATTCTACGTAGGGTTTTTATGTTTATTTCATGCATAATTCACTTCCAGTATTATATTCATAACCGTCTTCGTTGCAAAGCCAAACTGAAACAAGATTAAGATTTTTAAAATATATTCTCACTCCAAATCACCGTTCTCTTAAATAGCTGCAATTACAGTAAATTGACCACAGAAACGCCTGGCTTCCTGCGACTCGCAACGAGAGCTCGACTCATTCATTCGGAAGACTTTAATGTTCATTCCATTTTGCATAATATACATAGGAGAGCTTCTGGACTTTAAATTGCACGTTTTGATACCACATTTTGCCTGTTTAAATGCACATCCTCTTTTCTCTTAGATCCCTATGTGATGATCAATGGAGGTTTGACCATCTTTACTTCATCAGCTGCAATGCTGCATCTCTGAGGCACGCTGAAGAAGCACGGTAATTATGTAATAAATATCTTTCTGGAAGTGTAACCTGCCCTGCTGACGTTCAGCAAGCTATTGGACATGATTGACAATGCAACGACACAACTTCTGAGGAAAATATTGAAATATTGAAAACAAGGAACGTCGCCAGCCTCTTCCGTCAACAAAGACTCTACGTTAGCTGTACATGTCGGCTGAATCTGTCGAACGGACAGCACGTCGACTAAATGGTTTACGATAACGAGCAAAGTAAAGCAGAGGCAGAGGCATTTTGAACATAGCTACAAAGCGAACCTCCCAACTGCAAGCACTGATCTGATCGATAGCATTTTAATGCGTCAACAACTGAAATTACTGTATAGCATCTTCACACCGTATCACACGGCTGTTTTTATCCCAGTTTCGTAGGGCATCATATAATCCAGCAACAGCCGTGTAGCACCTGAAGATCTTTGGACTACGTCGGTCATAAAGAGTGCAAGACGAGTCTAACAAACGAAATCAAACGAGACGAATCTATAGACACTCAAATACAGTCTCTCTGCGCATGTTCACTTGCATTAATGCATAATTCATACGTTTTCTCCGCAAGTTTTGGCAAATGGTTGGTGAACGCAATAGGTTACGGTCATGTCCAAGTTTGGTTTTCCATTGGTGGCGATGAAGACGAATCCCGTATGGTGGTAGAATAAGTTAACGGTGCAAAAATTTTTTGTCGTAATCATTTCGCCTGCGTTTATGTGTTGCCCAATTTTCTGTTTTGGCTGTGCAGGGGTATAAGATATGAATGGTATTATGACGGACGGGATAGCTTAAAAGGTTCGCAATTGCCACCCTACACATTTCCTTTACACTCTTGCCGCTTGATCGCCGGCGCAACCGCTAGACTCGACAGATTCGTTAACTATCAAAGTAGTGTAACGTTGCAACTTGAGCAAGGGCGAGTGATGAGGGTATTCACTTCAACAGTTTCGAAGCGAAACTTCGTCTAAACGAATGAAACCTTAATTCCATTCAGCGCTTGAATAAACTGAACAGCATATTATATCTTATGCTGACAACAGTGAACTTTGCATATGATGTAGGTTTATTACACATTTGCCAAGTGTCCATGCCATATCATGCAGGCATTTCATCCACTTTGCTCAGGTCATAACCTTCTTTCCTAAGATTATTGGCGCCTATCTTTTGTGGTCTAATAAACGCCGTTAATTAAACGTATCTTGCGAAGATAGGTGTGCTGATTTATTAACCAGGACAATTTGATGCATTCAAGACCGCTTGATGCCATCACAACGTTTGCACAAGGTTTGAAAAATCATAGATAGAAATATGATGAAAGATGGATGGGCCTGCAAAAGGATGGGCGTCGTCACGACAAAATCCGTTGACGAACCAAGTTACAGAAACAATGAAGAGGTTGAGGAAACTCTAGCATGAAGAAACCGTATTCATCGTGTTAAGGAAACACCGATAGAGTGTACCAAATATTCAATGCTTTGTCGTACCATAACCCAGCATCATTTTCGGTTTTCTTCCGCGCATGATTGCTGCCCATGCTATAGATGATGGCACGGTTTAAGAGACTGGAGGTCGTTGAAGACAATGAAAGACAACTCGTGACAATAGAGCGTTTAAAGTGCGCATGCGTTAAGTAAGACCTGGCTATAGTTTCACGAAATAGTCGTTAAAACCAAATTCGGCCTTCGGTCAGTACCTCGACGTGATGACTTTGCAACGATGTGACCTACGACCAGTTTTATGGAACGATCGTAGAATTTTCTCCATATTACCAGTCTCATTGGGGACACATCAATCACTTGATCGAACTGCACAGCGTCAATGAGAACCTCTAAAGACCTCTTGCCCGCTTAACGGACCCCCAAGTAACTGGGAGCTGTCGCACAGTGCAACGCGTGCTGTAGATTGCCCGATTGCGAATTTTGAGTTGTTTACCGTTAAATTAGGATCGAACGCACGTATCCTCGCACCAGCTGCCCATCGCTGTTTAGCTGTCTTCAAGAGGTGATACGCTGGTTGCATTTGTGCGTCATATGTGTACTTTGCTCATGGTGGTAAACTCACTAGTCGACGCGCTGACTGTTTGCCAGGACCGGCGACGAAGGGACAAATTCTAGCAGTGTGTGGATTTCACTGACGTCACAAGCTGGAGATATCTCAAACTGTTACATATTTTGATCATCATCAGCGTGGAATTTACTTCCTTCCATACTTGATCATGTGCAATTACTGGCTGAATGTTTCGAACACAGGCTCTAATTAAGGAACGATATTCATGACATGCAATTTGACTGTACTTATGTCAAACATGCTGTTTTGTACCTAAAGCACTGAACGTGCTCAAATGTCGTGAATTTGTGATACGAACAAACGGTCCATAAAAACAACTGTAAAAAAGGGTGATCTACTTAAGAAGGGCAAGCATGGAATTAGAAATAGGGATGCAAGCTATGCAAATCGCGTCAAGTACAAGGCGCCTACCAAAAACCAACATTCTAAATCATCCACATCGATGAGTAGAGTTCTCACTGAGAGTCGAACCACACTGGGTGTTGTGGTGGTGACTTTACGCTAAATGCAGCGCTACGCAATGCAACGATAATCCGGTGTGAAGGCGCATTTTCATGTTCATAATATAGTTTGATTTTAAACCTGCAATAAACGTCTTAGTGACGCGAAACGCTCTAAATAACAATCATTATGAATCTGGGTAGCATCATCTCCGCCGAAGAATAGTTTGCAATTAAAAACGTGGTTTACAAAGCGACACTTGATGCCCAGCTTATTATGCACACATTTTGCAATATTTCATATCATCTTTCATTCGTCGCTAGCGAGCGACGTTACATAACACAAATGTGAATGCCCATACTGAGTTCGACAAATCAACAAGTAAATTCACTGCTTATTATGATGCATTACTCTAGTTTTGATCCGCCAAAGTCTCTAATTTATGCAGATCACATACTGGTTTGAAAACTGTGTCGTTATCAAACGGACAGTCTTCATAACACTGATATTTGCTTCCTTGGCACTGCCACACACAAGCTTCAGCTTTTTTGAAAATAGTTAAAATTCAGTCAGTGATTCGTTGAACGCAGATGATCAGCCATTGGACGATTTCTCTTGCCAAGTCTGGTTGGCAAAGGCTGATTGGCCAGCGCATGCACACACGACAGTCTGCAAGGTATAAAAGCTGCCCGCCAGATGCCATAGGGTTAGTTTTCTGACTTCTGCCAGTGAAACGGTTCATCTCAACGCATTACGAAAATGTTTCATGTGCTGCTGCTGCTGCTGCTAGGTAAGCTGATTCGTTTCACAACCGAACGAGGTATGTTCATAAATCTCTTTATTTTAGCATTTTATCACACGTTCATTGACGCAGTCTCTTCGAACGACGATCTGCTACCGTATCACGTATTCACAATGGAAGTGAACAAGACATCAAACACATTCAAAGCTCGTTGTTATTATGGAGACACCTACATGACTCTCTTGCATCTCGCCCTAAAGAATCAAAGAATTCGCACCACTGTCGACTACGATCAAATGACTCCCAACCCGGTTGAAATTGAACGCGTGTAAGAAATTCAAATTGCATCTAGTTTCGCGTTAAACGTTAGCCTAGAATTTCTCATAGATATTTTATGCATGCTAGAACTGTTCCTACAGGGCTTTTTGTAACTGGTCATTCTAGGGTTAGTTATAGCGAGTTCTTGCCATAGTTTTTCTTGCTTCTTATTATTAATTACTTAGGAGAAATAGTTTTTCACACTTATTAAAAGTTGTTGGTTAAGAAGCATTTTGTCAATGACAGGATGAAGAAAGTTTTTAAATTTCCAGACAGCACGCTTTTTATTATCGCGTTGAGCAGCCTCACCAGTGCAAGTTCTTCAGTAGCCAATGGTAGACACGTAAACCCTATAGAAATCAAACAAGTAGCCACAAATTAGAGTTTAGTGAAACGCATCATGCCCCATTTGTACACCAAAATTCAGAAATCATCAGCAGTGCATCAACTGTTCATTTGATGAAGCTGGCTGACAGCTACACGAATTGCTTCTCCAAGTACCCTACGCTGAAATAAGAAAATTTCATTAACCGTATGAATCGAACCGCTTAAATAATTCTTATAACCATTAAATCGAAAAAGCAGCTTACCGTAATCCTTCCAACGAAGAGTACATGAAGTCAAACAACTATAATAGAATCTGCACATAACAATTCAATAATCACTGTCATGCTGTAAAGGATTTTCTAATTGGGAAGTAATCATGTTTCGAAAGCGGCATCATGCTACAGCCGGGGCGACTACCGCTTTGAATTTCTTTCCTAACTCTTATTAGTGCAATTCACGCCTTTGGGTTAAATGAGCCTTAAATTAACGCGAACACTATCACTGAAATGCGATACATCGAAAAAACATTCAGGAATCACGCGTCATGTGCGCTGATTCTTCGTTCAAATTCACCTGTGCTTCATGTTAGAGAAGAAGGGCGACATTCTTACGAAAATATTCCCTGTTCAGCGTCACTGATAGGTCATTAGAACAGTTCTGACGAGTATAAGCCGAGTTCAAAAACACTAATGCTACCGCGTAGCATTTCCCTCTGCAGTTCTGTAACGAGTCTTTAACATGAGTTGCATACGCTGACTGTCTAGCAGATTGGCTAGCGCCAGATCCGTGTCAGCACAAAGTGTCTCGGAAACGGAAGGCAGCTTTGCCTAGGAGCTTTTCTCGATATTCCGTTTGCAGCTAGTGTTACACACATAACAATGTCAGATGATCAGATGTCTGATATGCATGGTATTTTTGTGAATTGCGGGGTTAACATCCCATTGTATAGCAGGCATGCTATTTCAAAGAGTGTGGTACCGGCCAAACAATTAAACTGTCGTTCTCATAATAAGCTAACCAGTATCATCCAGAGTGAATTCACATGCAACTGATATTCGGCGAATTTAACTGGCGAACAGTCGACAGAGCTCTGTTCTTGAATTTGCTGAGTTATGACCCGAATGAGTCGATAGCTAAGGCAGCATATGCCTATGAATCATTAGACAAAAACCGTTTTTGATTCCCATACACTGGATGTGCTTAAACACGACTGAGCTGAGCACCATTTACAAGCTCCATCTAGACAACAAGAAGCGCTTTGTAAATCCCGGTAATAAAATTTCAAAAAACATGACTGTGCAAGTGGAAAGCAGTCATTGCTGGAGCTACCGCAGGACGTCATGATTAAATATATTTTATTTCTGTACATATGCGTTGCTTGTATTTACAACGATTAGCGCAGCACTTTATTCAGTTTCCCATTTGCTTCTGTGGTTTCTTCTGCCACCAGATCTTCGTATGGTACTTTATTTCTTACAGCGCAGCGTGCCAACAACAGGGTGATGATCGGTTGATAGCTCCGCGCCTCTGTTAACACGAACAACCATTACTGAGCGTCTTAAGTCAGACGATACGATTATCAAATCGATCATCGACTTCTGTGCACAAGCTTCCCGGTACCAGGTGTACTGATTCACATTTCGATGCTCGAAGAAGGTGTTCATAATAGACAATCCGTTGTTTGCACAAAACCGCAAGAAGTTCATGTCG